ATGTCAAATTCAGTGGCTGCAACTGTTTAAACTGATGCCTAAAATAAAAAAGTTACCATATCTGTAGCCCTTGATACATGTTTATTGTTTATTTGGCATTAACTGCAAATGAAACTTCTTGCTCCATCTACAACTTGAACACCAAGAACTACCAGACCAAGGATACTTGAATTCTTTTCAAGATGTTAAGTCTGTTTTTTCTCTTATTTTTCAAGTGCCTTGATTCTGACCTACTCAGGTCAGGAGTCTTATTCGAGAGTCAGTAGCTTGGACCTTTATGCATTCCTTTATGACAAACTTTCTGTAATAAGGTCTTGTTTGCCATCACCTGAATGGGAAGTGAGACCTTTGAAATCAATTTCAGACAGCAGGCCTGCTGGTCAGAGATAAGTATCTTGTTCTGCCAGACTGCACAATGCTTCAAACCAATTTCTTGTCCATTTCTGAAAGAATCCCCTCAATTGAAACAGAAAAATAACAGTAAATACTTTTCTAAGCTACAGATTTTCTCAGTGAACGTTATTTCATTACAGTTAGCTACTACTGATTGGTGGGAATTAAATATATACTGACTGGACTAAAATAGAAATTCTGAGAATGTAGAACTGTTTTATTTACCATGCTATTGAAGAACATAATCCAGTAATATATCAGGTGGGAGAAATATTTATCTCTATAGGTATCTATATCTATACAAATATTTAAACAACTGTTCAACAGCTTCTTCTTGCAACTCATGGCAGAAGGGAGTGTTTTCCCCAAGAAGTACAGGCCTTAAACGAGAACACGATGTTCAGCTGTAAAGTTAGAGGATATATACTGGTCTGGTTTATACTAATTTTACAGAGGTGTATTCCTGTTAACTTCAGTGCAGGTACTTCCCTTTTCATCAGTTTAAGCAAATCTGGAATCAAACCACAAGCCTTTAATGAGGTTTTAATGATCCACTTGGGGGAGCTAAAGGGTAATTTGTTTCTGAATTGATTATAGCAAAATGTTGGGGATGCAAAATTAAGCTACAGAAGACAATGTGAGCAGAAACTTCCACTTTTTTTCAGCTCAGTGCTGGTTGTTAATCTGTGTTAGCTTCTGGAGAAAAGGGTCCCCAGTTCTTATTAAAATTCGAGCCTCTTACAGAAAAAAGACTCACAGTTATAAATAGCTTAGCAGCAGACACACATAATAGCATCAATCATATCCTGACTTCAATTACACACCTACAACATACATTGAATGCAACAGACATAACATGTAAGGCAGAGTTTGGTCCTTACTCTTACTCTACATTTTTGTGCTAGTTAACATTAACTGTAATGTGACAGTAAGAAAAGAAACTCCAACATGCAATGGTTTTGTCTTTCAGTTAATATGAAATACCTCTTTTTTCCCCCCTTTTCTTTAATGCTGGTCTTGACCTATACCTGCTTGTGCCTCCTGCACCAGTTACTGTGTTGAAACATGGCTTTGCATCATCATTATGTTCACCATTTCTCCAGCCTGGGACACACTGGGAACTGTTTCCCAGTGTAAAGCTGTATCAGCTGTTCTATCTTATGCTTGATTGCCTATGGTTACTGGTAGCCCTTTGTTCTGAAAGTTAAGCACTAATTAGAGGCAGAGATGCAGTATCTCCTATATGGGAAGGAAGACCACAGCCTTTTGTCTGTGAAGAGCCAATAAAATATGACATTGGGCTTTTCTCCTTGTAGGGATTGCCCTAAAGTTCAGAAAAACTGACAATACAGTTGATTTCAAAAGCCACAGCAGATCCAAAGCTATAATCATCTATCTTTTATAAAAGGAAACAACTCTGTTTCAGACACATAACTTACAGGAAAATTCCATGGGCAAAGCTGTACTGTCAATGTCTTTGCTGTAATAGCACAAAATTCATCTCATTCCAAATTACTCTGTAGTGCAGTCCACATTAAAATTTATGGTTGCCCATATGTGGGCATCTAATTTAACTGACTCATGTAAATAAAATTTCAAACAAAAGTGATAATTAAATAAAATATTTTGTTCCTTTAGCATGACATTAACTATATTGAAGGTTTCCTTATTTTATGTTTAATTTAGCCAGAGCATGTGGAAGAAGTAAACTGTAAGTATCTTTACAAGAAGTACTGTTGTTAGGCACTTCAAAAGCAAAGACTTATGCTTTGTAGCTATAAACTACCAAAATGTATTTTTAAATGTCATTCAGCATCCTGGATGGGTGACACAATCATGCTGATTGAATACCATGCTAAAAACAATGGCAAAGCAAATGGAAGCAAAGGGTACAGTCAATGCAGGTATAGGCATGAAAGCTGTAATAATTAACAGTACCTGATGACAGTATTTGTAGTGCAATTTGCTTTTGTGCTTTCTCTTTTGATATGTAAGGGCAAGTACTATAATGTATTTAGGAGGAACTACTGCTATAAATTGATCAACTTACATTAATTAATTCAATCTCCCAGATTTTTTTCACAAGGTCCATCGATGTATAGCCATTAATTAGAAAGGATTTGGTATAGTCACCCAGTTCAATGGAATCCAGCCATTCAGCTACAGAGGTGGGGTTGTAGCCATCGTGACCGATCTGCTTCATCTGAAAAACAAGAATGAGTAAGAATTACTGATAATATTCATTAAACGTCTTTCAGAACAGCAGTTATTTATATTATTTTATTTGGGTCAGAGTTATCTTATTCTCTGATCAACATTCTTTCAATGATTAGTACAAGATGAAACAATTTTGTAAGCAAAAGCACTAATAAAACTTAGTTTTCAATGGATCTTTTTGTTATGTCTGCTTGCCTTTTAAACCAGAGTATACTAAGACTGTAGCATGAGTTCAATTCTTACTAGACATCAGAGAATCCATAAATGAGGAATGGCAAAAGAGTCAGAAAGAGACATTATTAATATACTGACTGCACAAAAATGTCAGATTTGCACCTAAGATTTCATAGAAGGGGAATAAATTAGACTGAGGAATGGATCTTGTGCTATCAAATGGCAAATGAAACATATTGCCTTGCTTATATTATTCCTAATTTATCTCTCCTAGTAGGTTATCTGATATTTTATAATGGTTGAAGCCACACTGTATTTTTCTGTCCCCAGGGGAGGCTTAAAAAATTCTCTTTCTTCTACCTGGTCACATTTTTCATGGAACTCTTGGGAATTTAATATATTTTAGATTGCTCTCTGTCTGTAAAGTTGCTTGAGATTGGACAATCGAACCAAGTATTATTGGAATGGAATTGACAGAATGACATACACAGAAGCGCACCACCTGCATTCATAAAGCAACACAGGCACAGAAAGCATAATCACATAAATCTTGTTTTAATAACAAACTAAGAAATACCACTGGCATATTATTTTTCTGAATTTTGTTAAGCTACTAAGAAGTAAAGAGCTGCAATTTCCCTTTGACAATTGCCTCTCAGTGACACAAGTGAAGATTTTCAAGCTAGCCATTAAAGATAAAAATGTATAAAGCCTCTACCTGTGCAGCTTGTTACACCATACTGTTTTTATGAATTTTAAACTAATTTGCAATAGTGGCAGAAGTAGAAGTAGAACAATGTAGAAAAAAAATATGCAATAGCCTCAATTTTCAACAGTATTGTACACGTATCCTCTTTCTATAGAAGTGCTAACTATTGCTAACTTGATAACACACTGAACTGGTAAACTGTTAAGAAGCTTTAGAGGTTTAGAAACCTTGTGTTTTGCATAGGGTCTCCCGACTGTGCAAGAGTGACACTGTGCATGGTGAAAGCCAGTCTCCCATTTCTGCCTGCTTATGTACATTCCTACTTTCTGAGAAACAAGGGAAGTGTGATAGAAACATAATGCTTTGAGCTTAAGCTTGAAGTGAGTGACCAAGTAATTTAAAAAGGAGAGAATTCTGATCTTAATATCTTGCCTGAACCAATTTATTTCTCACAGTTTATTTAAAATACAATTTGAATTCAAAGCAAAGAAAAAAATTAAACTCTGCATTTGAAAGCTGCAGTAGTGTTCGTCGACCTGTCTGTTCAAATGCAGAAAGCCAGCATGTCATGATCTTGATCTTGGTTTCCTGCAGTATCAGAGAGGAGTGATGCAGGCACACTGCATCGTGGATATGACAGTTTACGCTTTGGTCTTTTCCTGCAGATGTTGGATATAACGTATTAATAGAAACATTTAAATGATGCAGTGAAATTATTATCTTAAATCATAAAAGAGACACAAGAGAAATTGCATAACTAACAATGGGAACCGTAGCCTTTCAGGTCACTTCTGTAACAACGGAGTCATGTTAGAAAGTGAGAGATCAGTTTTGTTGTTGAACTTGACATTTTGGAATTTAGTTTCATTCTAATTTAGAATGAAATTCTTAGATGTCAAAAGCACAGCAGATTCTTCTTTCATTGTCATGCAGACTTACTTCAAATCTTAGATTGACAGTAGTCTGTCCAGCAGACTGCAACAATGTTGGAGGACCCTGGTAGCTCCGACTCCTGGGAAGCTTATTTTGAGAGCTGGTTTGAAATGAGGTGTGCTTAAACAACAGACACTTGAAAAGAAAGGACCCGATAAACTGAAGAAGAAAAACCTAATACAGAGAAGACATGAAGAAGATGTACAGGGCCCACAGGGAACATATGACTTTTGAAAGATATAAGGTATTTTTGTTTTCTTTCTCTAACAAAGAAAAGCAAAACCCCTTTGAAACAATTTTCAATGTATCCAGATGGGGCATGTTGTGCAAATTATTTCTTTTGTTTATTACTATTTGATCTTTATGTTTAATAAATCTTGATTTTAACATGATTTTTTTTTTTAACTGCTGATTGAGAAATCTCATGCAGTCTGGCCCACAACTCTGGTAACCCATCAGTCTCTATAAAAAACAAACACAGCATGGGAAGTTTCTGAATTCTCAATTCCCACTGGAGATCTCCATCAGAAGGGTTGTTAAAATAGATATCACTGTACTACGGTGTGTTGCAAAGGGCTGCAGGCAAGCAAACTCAGGCGAACAATCCAATAAGCAACAGACTGAGAATTGAAATGTATGTGACAATTTCACTCTTTGGATTTGGTGCCAATAGACAAAATTGTCATCGGGTCACTTAATAGCCTACATGAAAATACACTGGCCTGTTGCTGGGCAGCAGCAGGCTTTGCAAGCATTTTCCCTCTCCCTGCCCCAGAGATTTGGCTGCCTGTGTTCAAGGCCACGTTGGGGATGGTGCAGCTGCGTAGTCTCGGATCAGACCCGTGTGAGAAAGAGCAATGAGCAACCTGGTCAGGGCCATCCCACCTTCTGCAGGAGCTGCATGTGAGCTCAGGTCCATGTCCCTGAGACTCGCCCGAGCTATGCCATAGGTACGCCTGTGCCCAGCCATGCACCTTGCTGATCCTCACCCACCGACCTGCCCTCCCGAATCGACCTTGTCCCATCCCCGTCCCTGTGGATTTGCCCTGGGATGTGGCTGTCTGCGGTCACTGCCACCATCCCTGCCCCACTCGCCTTGCGTGGGTGCTCCCTGCCTGCCCCACTGCCCCCCTCCAGCTCCCAGCCCACCTGCCCTGGCAGGGCAGCCCCCTCTTGCTGCTCCTATCGCAGAAAACTAATCTCAGAACTAGAATATTTGCCAGCAGTTTCAGCACAAAAGCAGTATTTTGTTTTGTCATGAACCAAGAACCAATCTCTTCTCTAAAACAGATTTTTCTAAAACATGTCTAATATATTAAAATTAATAAACTTTCAGTATCCGTCCTCTTGTATGGAAAGTTTTGTTCTGTCTGTTAATAACATCAACTAGCTTATTAACTGTCATTCATAGCTAGCTGAATGTTTTCCTTTCAAGTATTTATTGACAGACAGATTGGTTATCTAGATGTGACAGTACCATTAATGCTATCTGCTTTTCATATAAAATGTTACAGAGTTTTTAAATAATAATAAAAAAAACCCGCTTTGAAATATCTGTCTGGAAGTGCTGTCCCTTTACTTTACTAGAGCTGCAGTTTAGTTGCATCTTACCCCAGCCCTTATGGTCATGGCTCTTGGACTGTTTGTATTTTTTTTTTTCTGTACTGCACCATGATCTTAGACTCCTCTCACAGATCATTTACACCTTGTAGGCTTCCTTGCTGATGCTATTTCCTGATTGATTTTTTTTTTTTTAAAGAAAAACCCCCTCGTATCTGCTGACTGTATTCCCATGTATAATATTTCAATCATTTTGCACCAGCTACAACACATGCACCAGTGGTGTCAAACATCTAAGCAGCTATGTGCATACTGTTTGACTCAGAGCAGTATAAAGTCTCTAAGCTTGAAGTCACGACAGCCTTTCAAACATTAACTGCTCATAAATAGGGGCAGTATTGCTCTTCTGCAGACACTGCAACTAGTTCATTCGGTTGTTATCTTTAAAGAACGATATCAGTATTAGCTGTTCCATTGCAGCTGATTTTAGCATGTCGACTATGGAAATGGCTAGGAATGAAGCCCATAGGATTTAGAGAAAAAGATATGTTTAAGATAATATGATACAAATGAAGCATGGAGGAAGACACAAACCATAGGAGATTTCTCTCCTAGGTCCTACTGATCTATCACTAGTATCGCTTCCTTTGAAATGAATAGAAAGAAGAAGCCAGAAACAGCTGTTTCTTGTAATATAATAGTAATGTCAAGTAGCATCCTAATGGGTTGAGAAATCCTTCACAAGAGACTGTACATCAGTCTTTTTACAGGTGCATCACTGCTGTATCTATATACCATTTTACATTAGGATAGAAGGTACTTGAGTTTTGTCTCTGAAAGGTAGCCAAATAAACATGAACGGAGCTTCAAAGTAATCATATATGCACCAGAAGCATCAAGGTGAATTCACTAACAGAGTATTACCAGTTTTCTCTGATCTTCTCAGACAGATGGGGAACTAATGCTATTTTCTCCACAGGTATTATCACTATCTGGTGGATCTCAACACTGTGCGTATTAAAATCAAGCTTTTTATCCGCTATATAAAGAGAAAGAGGTGACTTGACTTTCGCAGCTTTTAAAAAGATGGCTATGATTATAGTGAATTTACGCTTGTGTTGGTTTGCAAGAAAGGTCTTTTTAGCAAGCACATAATGCTTTCTTTTAAACTGCCTGCCTAGCTGAGAGATTTAAGCAGCACTTTTGTATAAAACTATCAACTACCAATCTGAGTAATTCTGCATGATTGTAATGGGGGGGGGGAGGGATCAGGTTTTTTTTTCCTGTCTTCGTGAGTTGTCTATTGTATATTATGTACTTTACAAATGTGGTCAGTTGGACTCATGTTGCTGGAAGAGGAGATCATTCCTCCTTTGGAGCAGTGAAAGAAAAGGCTCGGGAGAGTGACACTTCTGAAGACCACAGGGCCTGGCTGGCACAGGGGCACCACGTGGAGCTGGTGCCTGCAGCGTCTGTGCAGAAATTGAGCCTGCAATCCAGGACAGACAGGATAGCTCTCATGGGCAATGGGCACAACTCCCTAAGGACCTGAGAAGACTTTGCATTTGCTGCTGCTGAGAAAGCCACCGAGAGAAAACAGGCCCCTGCCT